TATTATTTAATAATAGTTAAAATTATTCTTCCAATTTGTTTTCTTTTCAGATTTCTCTACTTCATGGCAATTTGCCATTCACAGCGAATAGTCTTTTTTTGTATTAAGTTGGCAGCACCTATTTGAACAGCTGTAAAGAAAGTGTATACGAGCAATACGAAGTTTGTGGTGCCTTAAGTTAATTCAATTATTACAATAAAAATCTCTTTTTTTACAGGAAAACATTGAAAGTATAATTGAGTAATACAGTTATATATGGTATATATATATTTCTAGCGTACGTTAAACGTAAGTTGATAATAAGCTATATACATATATAATATAGAGCATACAACTTTCGTGTTACGTATTTCAGAAATGTTACGTCGTGTAAACGATATTTATTGTTGACGTTGCCGAATAGGAAAGAAAAGATGAGCGCAGCAACTGAGGAACAGGATCGCATACAAAAGCGCGTAAATAAGATACTGGAGACGCGTCTGGAAGCAGACAAGGATACGTTAGATGCCCTAAATGGACTATCCAGCTTTTTCACCGAAAACACTTTGCAAAATCGTCGCAATTTGCGCAGCCAAATCGAACACCGTTCGGTCGGCATCAATCAGAATTTTTTAAAAGCGTTTCGAGAGGTCAAACTTACGTTAGATGCCGTCTGCACAGATTTGGACACGATGGCCACATCGGTGCAAACCATGAAAACTGACCTGGAGACATCCAAGGCGCTGACCAAGGACCTCATCGAGCAGACCAACAAAATGCAAGAGGAACGCGAACGTCTCGAGGTGCATCAGCAAATCGCGCAGGCTTTCCTTGCACGCTTTCAGCTCAGCGTGCCGGAGCATCAGTTGCTGTACGGCACGGCCAAGGATGCACCAATTGTGCCCGAGTTCTTCAAGGTGCTGGATCGGGTGCAGTCCATCCACTCCGATTGCCGGCTGCTCATGCAGTGCGGCTATCAAACGGCTGCCCTGGACATCATGGAGGAGATGACGCTGCATCAGGAGGGCGCACTGGAGCGGCTCTATCGCTGGACCCAGAATCACTGCAGAAATTTGGAAAACAACGAAATCGGCCCCTTGATCGTGGAGGCCATGAGCCGACTGCAGGACAGGCCCGTTCTCTTCAAATATGTCATCGATGAGTATGCGATCGCACGACGAGCTGTGCTCGTCCGCCAGTTCATTGAGGCGCTCACCGAGGGCGGTCATGGCGGCAATCCGAAGCCCATCGAGCTGCACGCCCACGACCCGAAGCGCTACATTGGCGACATGTTCGCCTGGCTGCATCAGAGCATACCCAACGAGAAGGAGAACCTGATGCTGCTCTTCAAGAAGTGCGACAAGCATGGCAAGAGATGAAACTGCTTCTCTTCTTTTCCAGCATATTTGAATGTTTCTTGTCTTGCAGATATCTCAGAGCAGATGCAGAAGGCTTTGAGCTACATCGCCGACGGCGTCTGTCATCCGCTCAAGGTGCGCGTGGACACGATTCTGAGCTCCGAGCAGGACACCATCATACTCTTTACCATCTCCAATCTGCTGCGTTTCTATCAGCAGATCATGAAGCAGGTGGTGCAAGGCGGCAGCCTGGAACAGTGCCTCATCGAGCTGCAGCAGAGCAGCGAGCAGATCTATCTGAATGCTCTAGCGGCCCAGGTGCGCAGCGTACTGCAGCGGCCAGCAGGCACGAGCTTGGCGCTGGAGCCACCACAGCGGGATCTGGTGCCGCCGGCAAGCGTGGCCCGGCTGCTCAACATACTGAAAGAGATCCTCTCGGTGGCCACCATGGTGGATGGCCGCCAGGCGGACATCACCAAGATCGTAACCTGTGTCATCGATCCGCTGCTGCAGTCGGTGCAGGAGAGCGCCGCCCACCTGCCCACCGTGGACATGGCTGTCTACCTGCTCAACTGTCTGTACCACATGCAGAGCACCTTGGCGGTCTTTGAGTACATGGACGAGCGTGTGGAGCGCTTGCAGGCGCAGTCGGACGCCCAGCTGGACACTCTGACCTCCGAGCAGGCCTCTTCGCTGGTGGCCAATCTTAACCTGGGTCCCATCTACACCATCCTGCAGAGTAACCAGACGAAAATCGAGACGAATCTGCTAAAGATTTTCATGTCCAAGATGGATGCATTCCTCGAGCTGCCCGACGTGCTGCTGCTGCCCCAGGTGCAGCTCATCATGTCCAGCGCCCATCGCAGCACCGTCCAGCGGCGCGCCTTCAATGTCATCGTGGCCATCTACAAGCAGATCTATGAGCGAGTCCACGATCCGGCGAATGGCTTCGAGCAGCCGGAGGCGCTGCTGCACAAGACGCCCGATCAGGTGGCTCGCATATTGACCAACTGATGAATGGCAGCCGGATGGCTTCAGCCTCCTGTTATATGTATTTATGTGTGTGTATTCCAATATATTGTATGACTACTGTAGTCCATTGTAGTTTACTGTGCCCATTGTGTGCCCACTTTGAGGCTTCCCTTTATTGTGCTATCCTCACTGAAATGGAACTCGTGATTTCTTGTTGCTACTACAGTCTGTATTCAATTTGTGTGACAGCAGGGGACAGCTTGGTGCTGCTACAGTGAGCTCTAGCTAATGTTAACTTGATATTAGTTTTATATACCACTTGAATTTTAATTTTATATGAAACACGAGTTATTTTTGCTACTACAGTCTGTATTCGATTTGCGTGACTCTAAAAGATAGCTTGTGGGTGCTACAGTGAGCACTAGCTAATGTAAACTCAATTCTGTCTTGAAATGTAGATCAAGATATACAGAAGCTAGCCTATTGATTTTGCGTATTTTGTTTGTATGTCTTACTCATGCTTCACTGTAGTTTTGCTGTATGAAATGTAATTAATTGTATAACTGTGAATATATGAAAAATGAGTGTAATAGCTCTTACTTCCATGCCTTTACTTCTTAGAGAAGCTCCACTGTGAAGTGGATAACTTTCGCCTTAGTGAACGTTTACTGTACTACTCTTAGAAAATGCTGCTGAATTGTATTGCAATTATATATATGATATACAAGTTTAACTATTCATTCCTTGTACTCTACTCTAACCTCTACTGGTTCCTCTCAGCGAAGCTCTACTGTATCTTCAATTATAATTGTCGGCAAAGCCAGTGCCAGGCGTATTTAAGCTTCGTTCCGCCTCCCACCCACAGCGTTTTCTTTGATTTGCTTTTCCATTTGTTGTTATTCTAAATGCACAATAGGCTCTAGAAGCTGATATATATATAATATATTGTATACATATAGGGTATATATATATATATGTTATAATCGCCTGCTCTCCATCTTCTGTCAATTGTGCAAAAAGCGCGCTTATCACAGCCGAGCCGCGCCGAGCCCTAGGCGAAGGCGACAGAAGAATAGAAAATAATTCACAAAAGCTTTTGCTTAAAATTAGTTATAAATAAATAAATAAACAAATGAAATGATTTGTTGTTGTCCACAYTTATCACGAGGCGAAATCTCTTGAGCGCGTCATTAGTTATAAAATATTTTGACATCGTTTTTATCGCGCGTTAACAATTAAACAATATTTTTTTTGGCTAACAGCGCGTTCGCAGTGCCATTTCAGCTGGCCAAAAACTGAGAACTCGGCGTCGGAAGTTTTTATCTAAGAAACATTAAATTCCAAAATATACAGTGGAAACTGCTTATCGCGACGTGCGGATGCTGTGAATTAAACATATTCGATTTGTGTGTATATCAACTTATATTATTGCTATACTAAGCTAAAAGTTTTTATAATTAAGTATACAGACATAGTGTGTGTGTGTGTGTGTGTGTGTGTATGCTGGTGCGCTTTAGTTAATTGTGACTGTGGCACGCTGGAAGAGCTCCAAGGTGAGCGCCGCAAAGAAAGCGGGAAATGAATTATTTGCTGCCAATTGTTGATCGATGGCCGGCTTCAATGTCTGCGAATACGGCGACTCCAGCAGAGCCAAACAGTTCGATTCATTCAGGCTAATGGACAGATAGTCATCGGGACTCTCAGCATACATGCTCGAAATGCTAATCAAATAGACAATTATATATATGAGATCATGTAGTTTAGATATATCTCTCGAAAGACTCACCGATAGTGACTGTTGGCGCCCACGCGATCGATCCGGTAGCCCAGCAGCATATAGCAAACATCACGAAACTCTTTGCTGGCCGCCTTGAAGCACTCCTTCATCTTCTTCATTTTGCCATTGGCCGAGTCCAGTTCGGCGCGCAGCTGATTGAATTCCTTGAAATTCAGTGTCATGCCGCCGCCGGTATTGGTGCTGCTGCAGGTTTCATTGAAGCGCGCCTGTGTCTGTTCCTGATCCTCCTCCAGCTTCTTGTTGCGACGCTTCAAGCGCTCGATCTGCATATAGAAATAACTGTAAGTTCTGGCTTAAGCTCCTTCAGCTTTCCGCTTACCTCCGCCTGCAGCTTTTCCACCACATTCTTGGTCGCCTCGTATGCCTGCGCGGCGGGATTATCGCTGAGATGCAGCACCTTGTAGTTGACCATGTTGAAGTCGCCGCGCAGACAGCGATGCTCCATCTCCAGCTCCAGTTCGTCCTTGCGCCGTCTCAGACGTTCATTCTCCATGCGCAGCGAGTCCAGCTCTCGCTTCACGCTATCGTAGCCGCTCTCACTGATGGGCGGATCATTGAGGGACTCCTGCTGTCGCATCGATTGCATTTCTCGCTCGAGCGTTGAGCACATCTCCTTGTAACCGGTTAGGGTACGCTCCAGCACCTCGACACGGTAGCGCACCTGCATATCGTTGGTCATCTCAGCGGTGCTCGCATTCGTCATATTGAGATCTTTGTCGAAATTTTCGAGCAGCTGCTTGTAGAAATCGCGCTCCTTGCACACAATCAACAGCTTGCGCTGCAGCCGCTCGCGCAGACTCTTGTGGCGCTTGAGCACCACATTCATCTCATCGATGTTCTTCAGGTAGACGGCACACTTCTGCTCCAGCTCACGCACCGACGTCTGCAGTTGTTTGGTGTCCAGGGCGGCAGTGCTCTTCTCTGCGGTGCGCACAATGTCGTCCTGGAGCAACTGCTCGATGCGAGTGCGCAGCGCCATGGGACTGACGAGCGTGTTGGCCAGACAGTGATCTTGGGCAATTTTCACCCACTCCTTCAGCTCCTGCTCCACATGCGTCAGCTTCACCTGCAGTGCAGCTGCCTCGGCACGAGCGCCCTCCTCCCGATCCAGGCGCGTCTTGTAGTCGTGCACCTGTTCCTCTAGCAACAATTTGTCCCCAATCAACGAATTCAATTGCTTGTTGTGCGCACGCAGGCGTTCCAGCTCGGCTTGCAGCTCTGGCACACTGAGCAAACGGGCCTGCGATGTCTTGGTCACCTCTTTCCAGTCGGCGTAGGATTGAATTTCGTATTCCAGCTCCTTAATGCGCGCATTTGCTGTTGTCAAAGTCTGTAGCTGCATTTCGTAGTCCAGCTGTAGCTTCTCGTAGTTGGCAGCAGTTTCTTTATATTCATCGTGGCGCTCTTTGATGCTATCCAACTCCTCCTGGGTCACTCGCAGCTGCAGCTCGGCCCGCTCGCACATTCTCTTGTATTCGCTCAGCTCATTGTTGATGCAATGCTGCACTTCCCGTGCATCCTCCTCCATCTGCGCCTTCTCCTGCTCCACACGACTGAGCGCCGTCTCGTATTTGAGTTTCTGTTGGGCTATTTCGGCAACCAACCGATTCGCTTCCTGCCGAGCGCTGTGCTCCCTCTTCCGTACCACCTGCAGCTGCTTCTCCAGCTCAATGACCTTGTTGCTCGTGTAGTCGCATTGCTCTTTGAGTGCTTGCGCCTTGCTTTCGGCCAAAGCCAGCTCGCCTCGATGCTCCTTTGCCTGCTGTGCCAGTTGGTCCTGCAGTTGATTGATTATCGCCTTCGACTCGATGAGTTCGGCGCGCAGTTTACGTGTCTGCCAAGGACCCACGGGATCCGCGAAGGAATTATTCAGTGATGTATTACTGGCATTGAGGCTGGCATTCGCTGAACTGGTGTCCAAGCTATCGATGCGTCGTTTCTTTGGCACTTTTGTAGGCGAAACTTTCATTTCATTTATTTTCAATATATTTTTCGTTCTTCTTCTTACCTGTGACAGAATCTTCGGTGAAAGACATGGAGAGCCGGTCGAAGCTGAGCTTCTTGGGCGCAGAGTGTGTAATACTATCATTGAAGCGTGCCATTATATTGTCTAAGCTACTTCGTATTTCTTCCATTTTTACTATTTATTTAATTTTTTAATATTAATTGCAAGTTCGCTGTTTGTATAAAAATTTTGTTGCTGAAAACAGTATTAGCTGTGGCGGCAGACCGATATATACTCGATATATGACCGCTTCAATCAATAGCTGCGAACAGTACTGCCAACAGAATTTAATATAGGAAAATGCTGTGGGTAAAGCAAGTTGGCAGCATCACTATCAGCCCATGGCGCTAAATTTAAAAAACAATTATGTGCATGAATATCTTAGCTTTGATATATTACTTCACTCTCGTGTGAACAACCATTATGAGTAATTGCATCGTTAGTTTTATGTAAAACGAAACATTTCAATCATTTTAAATAAGCTAGCACAAAAATAAAGTGATAAAATTTGCGCCTATGATTTATTTGAGTTAGCCTCCCACTCTGTCCTGCGTGTGTGTGAGTGAGTGAGGGTGAGTGTGTACGTATGCCTCTGTTAGCCCATGAAAAATGAGCGCATTAAATTTTATGATATTGTTTGGGCCTGTCATCAACTTTGGTCCAGAGCACACACACTGTACTCACTCTCTCTTTCGTACACACATACACACACGCTGCTATACGTACGGACGACAAACAAGTGGCAAAGTTCAAAGTCAAACAATAACACTTTTCATAAACAAAAAACCCAGCACACATACACACAACCACACACAGTATATGTAAATATGTATGTGTAYGTAACTGTATGTGTGCTCAGCTCATATGAATTGGCTCAAATTTCTTTCTTTTACAGTTACCTGCACCCATGCTCCAAAGTCGACTACAAAAAAAATTTCATATTGAAAGTTGGCCAAAGCGAAAAAGAAGAAACAAAAATAAAAAATAAACGAAAACGAAAACGAAATTGACCTGTGCCAAACAGTGTTGCCTGTTTAGCTTTTTTCAGGCTAGATTTGGCCTGTTTGAAAGTGGTCTTCCCTATTGATAATCAATCTCTCAGTCTGTCTCTCTGTATGTCTCTCTGCCTGTCTACCTAACCGCAGAAGATCACTTAGGTTTGTATGTATGCTGCAGTATTCATTTGGTATTTATATTTAAGTAAAGCGAAGCTAGAGTGCTTGTACCAGAAGAGAGAGCTCCCATTGGCTCAACATTTGAGAGCGATTTAATAATTGAGTGAGAGTCGATCTATATAAAGGGCAGCAGCTGTAGCATTTCTTTAGTCGTTCAGACCTGATAGGAGTCAGTTGTTCAGTGCAGTAAAGTGAAGTAAAGCTTTCAGGAAATATTTAGACGAAATACTTCGAGGAAAAATTTATAGGAAAGACTTGGAGCAAAATACTTAGGAGAAATATTTAGAGGAATGACGGAGGATACAGTTTATATTATTATTATGATAAGCAAAAAAGGTCACTGCAAATAATTTGTTAAATATATGTATTTTCTACTTTTCGTAAGTTTTCTTCTAGTCCGCTATTCCAACACTTTTCTTAGCCGTTTATCCACTTGTTTCGCAGCTCAACAGCTAACAGCACTGCCAAGCGCAGCGCGAGCCTGAGCCCACACAATCACAAAGGAGAGGCGAGCATTGAATAAAAGTTCGCTGTCTGCGTTTTGTTCAAGCACTTTAGTGCGCAGTTTATGTGTAGTGTGTGTATGAGGAGGGTGTATGTGTGTGTGGTACGTGGGCTTAACTTTTTGCTCGTTGAGCACTTTATCAAAGCTTAGCACCTGACAATTTGCCATGAAACATGCGGCCATTTCTTTATTTCGTTCTTTTAACATACGCACAAGAAATCAACACGCCTTTGCATGCGTTTGGTGTGTGTGTGTGAGTAAGTGGTGAGTATGTATGAGTATGTAATGAAAATGATATTGAGTGCTTTTGCTTTTATTCTTTCATACGGCTTTGTAGTCGATGTTGTTGTAGTTGTTGGCGATGCTGCTCATTCTCTTTACGGTGTACATCAATGTCACCGCTGCAGATTAGTGGACGAGTCCCTTTACCTTTTAATTAAATTAAAGCCGATTAACTGTCACTCGCACCGTGGGCTAACTTGTGTATCCTTATCGGGGACTCAAGTGCGTTTTATGCTGCCGTTGGCATTTTATGTTTTAGATGTTTTTCATCAGCTGCGGTCCAATTTTCCAACTACTTAAAATATTTTATTGCTATTGTTAATGTGTAAAGAGCTTTCTCTCCTCTCTCTCTCTCTCTCTCCCACTCACTATCTCTTAAAAACCAGTCGAGTGCAATATTAGCTTAAAGCTGTGATTAACAAAGCAACTGGTACTATATGAATATGAAAGAACCGCAGAGCAGCGGTTGCTGAGTCTTTTAACAGTGTAGCTTGGTATGCTAATTTGCTCTAATTGCACTGTTAGCTTCTGCAATGCATTTCTACTTAATTTGTGTTTGTGCTATGTTACAAAGTTAAAGAGCGTTTCTATGTAAATTTGTTCTAATTGCTCTGTTGACGGAGCATAAGCTGTACTCTGCTGTCAATGGGAAGAGCGCAGAGCAGCTTTCGCTATGTTAAAGTGCACTAATTGATTTTTAATCTATAAAATTGAATTCTGCATTATTTAAAGTGCGAATTAATAATAAATGCTTACTTTATTTATTTATTTTAATATTTTTCCTCAGTATTTTAAAGCTTTACATTCAATTTGAACTATCTATTAATATATTCACACCGATTTATTATTTCTCCATTTTTCCATTTTATTTGCATTTGCCAGTTGCAGGATTTTCCATATAAATGCCACTTATTAACGCCACATTGCTTCACACAAACAAACACACACAAACGCACATACATTCACGCTCTCTTAAACACTTACATATACACAGGACATGCAACAGGCGGAACTTGCTTATGGGTTTGTTTTTTTTTTTTCTGGGGGCGGTTTGTTGTTCGTATTTGCAAAGCGACGCTTCCTAGAATTTCCGCTGACTCACAATCGCGCGTTCCCCACAAAAATCTGAATAAATTTCCAGCGTGACACAGAAAAACGCAACTCCAACTGGATGGAATTTTCATGAGGCACGCCAAAAGTCCCCGACACTAAAAGACCTTCAGAGCTGTCTGTCCGCGAGCTTAAGTTGGCATTCATTCCGCAGTTGCACTCCGGTATAGTCGCGCAGTTATCCTCCCAGGCAAAGGGTAAGTCGATTTGCACTTAGTTTGTGTTTGGCATCTGATCCATGATGAGAGCAGCCGTCACCAGATGATTGATAACTGTGCTTACGGTGCTGCTGGTGCAGAGCCAGTGAAACGTTTTCAGAGATAGTGGAACAGTTCTCTAGTTAGCTTAAATCTCCACGATTTAAAATGCACTCACACACACACACATACACATGCTCTAGCATTTCAAATGCACCTGTTAACCGTTTGGAAAATTTATGACTTCCTATTCACAGCACTTGGGCCGAAGCCCCACACAAACACACGCGTGCTCTCGTTCTGCCTCTCATTGCATCTCTGTCCCTTTCTCACTGTCTCTCTCAATGCACATTGCACATTTCCTCTCCTTGCCTAGTTGCCATTGTCTGCCAGTCTGCACTTTGCTATTGTTTTTGCTTAACGGTGAATAACGATAAACGACGTACACAGACACATGCAAAGAGGAAGAGACGTTTAGATGCTCACGTACGCCCACTTCCACAAAGTGTTAAGCTGCCAAGTGCAAGGACATGCACATGCTTGAAACCAAATGCATTGGCATGCATGTGCGTGTGTTTGTGTGTGAGTGTGGGCAATAAATAAAATCAACAATGGCTAATTGCAAGCACAGCCTTTTATATAAACAAGCACACAAACGTATGAGGACCAAGAGACACGTGAATGAAATGCATTATGCATTATGCAAGCTTCAAAGCGCAGAGCTATCGTTCATATAACTTCGCTAGCAAATACCCTGTATACAATTCTGTTAAAAATACCAATATTTATGTTACTTTAAATCTTACTGTTTTACTAACCTTTTTGCTGCTTAAAATAATTATGCTCAGCCAAGATATTTTTCCCATTCACTTGTCAATCTATATACCCTTTAATACAACTCTATTCTATGGCAGTCAAAAGGGCCCGGCTGAGCCTTTCACTTTCATACTAGCAGCGGCTTACACTGCTGCCATGCTAAGGAGTGTGCCAGAATGTGGTGAATTTTGCGAGAGAGAGCGACAGAGCGCTCTCAGCACACACACATTCAAAGCAAGTTAACACATAGCCGGCCCCGGCAGCAGCTGCTGCTGTATAAAATACAATGCATGCCAACAGGCGCGCAAAAGGTACGAAATTCACCAGCTTAAGAGAGCGTTTAGCAATTTTATCGATATATCGTTTACATCGATGCATACTTTGGCGCAAGTTTACTAAGTAGCTTAAATACAAATTTTTAATAAGTAATTCCAGTAATTGAATATTATAAGTTAATGATATGTTAATTAACAGATATGGAAGGCATATGGTGTAGGAAGATATACAAGATTGCTTCTCATTTTAAAATTATTGCTATATTATTGTTGTCACTTTTTGAAATACGCAGCCTATCGTTTGGTTTTTTGAAGTCACCTTGTGTTTATCGATGTGTGGATTTACTTTGCTACTGTGCGCGCTCTTCCATGAATTTGTAATTGAAATGGCCGCGTCGCGACGAAGTGCTTGCAGTGCGTAGGCGGTTGTCGTAGACTGACGTCGTGGCCATAGCACGTGCTACGAGTGCGGTACGTGCAACGGTGCCACCACCATCAACATCAATACTATAACAACAGCAGCAGCAGCAATCGTAGTAACAACAACAGCAGCAACAGCAACAGCGAGAACAACAACAACAGCCAAACGACCACAGTAGCAGCAGCTGAAGCTAGAGCTGACTGAAGCTGTAGCTGAAACCTGAGGCCGTAGCAACAACAACAACGTGGAGTAAAGCAAAGCAAAATCACAAAAAATAACGGCACTTAAATAGCAAGCGCATAGCGAATTATGAAAAAAAGTAACGGCCAAAAGTTGACTTTGCATTTGTAAAATGAAATCGAGGTGAAATAAAAATGAAAGAAAATCAAAATCAAAGACAAAAACAATTAAATTGACTTGCATTTGTATGAATTAAATCAAAGTGAATAATTATAAAAAAAGACAATAACAAAAACAGATGTGACTAAAACTTAATGAAATGTTTAAGTGTGTAACAATAAATTAGATTTAAGTAAACAATTTGCACCTTGTTATTTGCACCTGACAAAGACTAAGCCAATCGACGCTGACAATAAGCAACAGCAAAAAATTAAGTTAATTATATTTATTGATAAAAAAAACAAATTTATATACATATAGACAATTTTACATAAATTGAATCAAATTGAAGGTGTCGAAAAGAAGCAAAACGTAAATGCCATTTACGCAAATAATACTAAACAAAGAATAAAGCATAACACAAAAGAAGAGGCAGAGCCAACCAAAGAAGAAGAAGAAGAAGAAGACGGAGGCAGGCAGCAGCCGAAGCCCACAAAACGCAAACAGGATACTTAAAATATCAAGGCAAATACATACAAAAACCACACACATACAAACGTTCACACTTACGCTGTTTGCACAAGTGTGTGTGTGTGTATATATATATATATTTATATATATGTTTGTGTATGTGTCTGCGGCTCGACAACTAAAAATATATTGTGCGCTTCATATTTTTGGATTCGACTTCAGTTGTTGCCCCTTTGCAACGTTGTTGCTGGGTCGCTGCTTCTTGGATTTTGTAAGCAAGGCACGAAATAAATATATATAACAACATCTACAACAACAACAAGTAGAACAACAACAACTAAGGTGTTTTTGGCCCGTGGCGCGACAGGCATAAAGCAAACAGCAACAGACTTTGCCAGTGTTAGATGCCAAACGCTTCAGCTGAACAGAGATTGATGCTGCCAGTCAACGCACAAACAACAACAACAACAAGAGCATACGACAACCGCCGAGCTGAGTACAAACAGCAATTGAGATATGTAAGTAAAAAACAAAAAAATATATACATAGATATATATAAGGCAAGTTAAAAGTATGTGTGAAGTTAACACGAAATAAATTTAGCGTAGCATACTTTTTGGGGATTGTAAAGATTGGCTATAACGAGACTAGAAATTAGAAATAAGTAAGCTTATGTTATATTATGACAGTTAACTAAGCTGATTAACTGTGAAATGTCTGTTAAGAAAATGTTATTTAACTTACTATTGCCATATCATAGTTTTTGAGGCGGCAGAAAGAATATGAAGTTAATAAAATCTAATAAAGCCAAACTCTTGGATAAGTTGATTATATATTAAAGGTATGTTAAGAAAATGCTGTTAGATGACTAATAATGTTAGATGGCTGTTAATCAAGCTGATTAACTGGCCTATTGGGAATGCGTCGTTTTTTTCTATAATTACCACAGCTTAATTTTTCGAATTTAGTTATGTAAGTTTTACAAATGTTAAGTGCATGTTAAAGACATGTTACATAAGATCACTGCCTGTACTTTTTACGCAGCCTACTTAAAATAAATTTTATCTGTAATTCTAAGACATGGAATATTACTCAGATTTGACATATGTTTAAATATAACATATACATATCTTATATTCAATTGACATATGTTAACTATATCTAAGGGCAAATTGACTGTAGAATATTGTTAAACTTAGTTTAGTGAGCCTTAGGCAATATATGAAGTATGCTCACTTAACAAGGAACGAAGTTGAATAATAATAATTTGAGCAATCTGAAAAACAAATTGATGAAGTACTTTAGTGCAGTAAACCCTACACCAATTAGCAATACCATAGCATAACATTTGATGAATTCAAATACCAGTCAAGTTAACTCAAATTACCAGTTGGTATTCAGGAATGCAATGGTATGAAACACGGGCCATACGTCAAACTTATATAAAAAAGGGCAGCAAGAAATCAAATTCGTTTCAAGCGTCAAAGCTTTATGCATATTTTTACAGCATTTAAGTGTGAAATGATGTGTTGGCGCATTATTTGACTTAGGCAAGGAAAAAATGTTAAGCTCACACAACACAAACACGCGCACAATAAAATACGCACACACACTCACACATACATATATAGAGAGATAGGGCCAGCGTAAGGCAACACAGAGAATCTGTAAACCCTGACGGAGTTGAAGTGGCAAACAAACAGGGCAGAAACACACAGACACTGAGACAGAGAGCAAAATGCGAAATACAAATATAAATACACAGATACACACAGCGCACTCACACACACACACACACACACACACACAGTCACAAACTAGCTGTACGTGTGACTTACAAGAAAAAACACTTATACGCCACGTTGAACGTGAAACGGTCGCAAGTTTTATCAACTTGTGCTGGCTGTGCTCGGACGCCGCAAACTCAATTTGGCATTTAGGCTGACTGGCTCTGACTGGCTGCCTGGCTGCCTGGCTGCCTGGCTGGCTGCCTGACTGGC